ACACTGTGATCAACACACAGTTTTTTTCCCATTCCTGACCCTTATTTTGTTCTGTGCTTCGAGGCTGTGTTGCTGTGCACCCAGGGCAGGGCAGGCTGTCGCTGTTACAGGACGGTCCTGCTGCACCGCGGCTCTTGGTCTTGCAGAGACAGGAGAACACCCTGTGGACTTTACCCCACACCGTAATCCAGAGTGCTCCTCAGTTTACTCTAAGCTAAGCCTTTCTGCAAGCTGCTGCCTTTTTCTSTGTTATCTGCTGTGATAGCCATGGTATTAATAGCAGGAACCTTCCTTGCAAAGAGCCRACTGCAGCTCCAGCACCGCTCCCATTGTGCTCCTTGCCTGCACTGCTATCTCTCTGTGCAAGGAAACCCTTCCAGCTTTACTGCAATGCTTACAATTAATGCACATCTCCATCCATTTATCCCACACCAGCATAAACAGTCCTATCTGRAGGTTGTGCCTGCTGTCAGCTCCCACCCTTTAAAGCGATGCTGGAACTCCCTTGTACTCACAGATAGRAGTGAAGGTCTCCAGCACTTTCTAGGCAAGAGCAGAGCTGAAGGTGACTACTGGGGAGCAGAAGTGTAAAATCTTCTTTCTGGGAGCCCTGCCACAGGGAGGTCTTCTAATATTGTTTCCCTCTTTAAAAACCYTTACAAAAATAGGGAGGGATTTACAAGTGATCATTTAATAGATCRGAACAGCTCAACTACTTGATAAAGTTCTTTTACCTGTAGTAAAGCATGTTGGTACTGGAAAGCTGCCATGTGCTCTCCAGGGCTGTCCTTACAATGAGATGGTTTAGAATAGCTGCTGTTCRGGAAAGAATAGCTGTGTGTGACCAGGAAAGCTTCTGGAGGGTCTCTTCCAAGGCTTGCATTTCTCATGGAGCAGAGAAAGCTCCARGAGTCACTTCTCTGTTACCTGACAGAGATCACTCATGCTCTGTAGCTGTGCATGGCTGCATGAGCAGACATCAGTCCTGGTGCTGTCTCAGGTAGGGAGAACTCTGAATAATACTGACTATTGAATGGTTAAAAACAGACTTTCTGGAACACAGTTTTTTGGGAGAAATGTTATCTGCATCAAGCAAAACCTGTGAACTGTGTGTATACCATAAGGAACGTGCTGCCCAAGTCCTTGGCAGAGACCTCTATCAGATGTTCATGATCTCCATCCTGCCCTCGGTGCAGCTGGGGACTGTGGCTTTGCCAGGGAACTCTGAATTCCACAAGAATCTGTTAATAATCTCCAGCCTGACACTTTCCAATAGCATCATTCAGAACAAGATTATGCTGAGATGCACTCATTTCTTTGTCAGTCCTCATTTGATTTATAAAACAGTTCTAAATCATCACAAATTCTCATCYATAGCATTGAAGTGTCTCTCCAAATAGATCTCATGAAAGTCTGTAATAGACTTTTCATCAGATGTATTAAGGCACAGAAAAAAACATGCAAAGATGATTGGAGAACTTTGGCATTTTTCCCAAATGATGGATGTACAAAATCTTTCGTTGTGCATCTTGAACTCCCAGAGGAGGGACTAGGTAGGTATGGCCAAGTTGTCATGCAAGCTGATGTAAAGAGAATGCTCTAAAAATTAATTGTAAAACTTTTGTATGTGAAGACTGGATCAGGAGGAACGTGACACAGTTCAGTCAGAGGAAAGTATCTGATATCTGAATATAAATCAATTCCTCTTCAAAAAACCCCAAAACTAAAACAAAACAAAAGTAAACAAAACCAACCAAAAAAAAACCCAAAAAAACAAATAACCACCCCCCCCATTAATTTTTTAGAGAAGAAATCTAATTCTGCTTCCTGAAATTTTTATTAAAAAAAATGGACAGCACATGCACAAAAACTAAAACCCCCCCCAAAAAAAACCACCAAAAAACACCAAAAACAAACAAACAAAAAAAAACTTCCTACAACCCTTCTAAGCACATGAAAATAGAATTGCAGTTCTATACGAAGTGTGCAGTCCTATTCTGACCTCACTTCACAGCAGCATGTGGATATAAAGTTCAGCAGAAGTTGATGAATTTACACCCCTTAGTGTCCACTTGCAGAGTGTGCAAGTCTTGAAGCAGAGCCCAGCAGTGTGAGCTGCGCTGGCAGGAAGCTGCACCAAGCTGCTTTKGAGGAAATCACACTTTTTGGATAAATACCAGTCAGCTGCAAACATTTTTCTCTCCAGGATGTGTGTGCTTTTCTAATGTTTAGAATAAAAATGTRGTGCTAGGAATTGGGAATATAGTTTTCACATATTTGATTACTTCAGCATTAAAGCAGCATGATGATATTAGTGGTAGCCTTTAACATGAACTTTGTTCTGTAACTTCCAGGCTTCAAAAACTAATGAGGAGTAAAACTGGGGGAAAAAATGTCTTCCGACAAGCCGGTCTTCAGCACCTTTTTAATGGATAACAGATTTGCCATCATCACACATCACTTGGAATATATTATGACAAGACACACAGGCTAATATAACGCATTGTCTACACAAGGCTACTACRTATTAGTGAATTTCTCTTTAATTTGATACAGGATGATTCAGTTCCACATACAGAAGCTTTCAAATCGTTTTTTTCTGGAAGAATTAAAAGCCAGTGTGTGTACTCAATGTAACCAGAAAACATCAGATGCTGTGTTACAGAAGTTGCAAAATGGTTTCTTTCCTTCGATGAAATTCGGAAAGCAAAGCATGAAAAGAGTTTCTAACTTTCAGCACTTAGTAACAAAGCTTTCAAGAAAGCCCAGGATGCAGACAAGGAATCAGAACTGTCAGATTTTCACTGTACTGGGTTCTGTTCCCACAGATGGGAGTTGGCTGCGCCCTGAGCTGGGCTCATTTTCATTTCCAGTATTCAGATGAATCCTGGATGGGTGTTTCCAAAACTTTCAGCTGTTTGAATGCTGGGTGCTTGCTGCTGTCACAGGTTTGGCTACCAGAGGAGTGCCTAGAAAGTGTAAAAGCATCAAAAGTTCCTTCCCAAACAAGGAAAGCAGGATGATGAAGGAGGTGAAAACTTAAAAGAAAATATCTTGTTTTATTATAAGACTTGTACATGCAAACCTTTTATATATAAAAACCATTGTGATCAGCAGAGCAGCATTGGCAGATGTGAGTGCACACTTCATGCTGCAGGCACAGCCATCCCCATCRGCTACAGTCAAGACTCCCTCTATTTTCTCTCTGTAAAAAGGCAGATCTAGAAATCTTGTCCTGGCTTTGCCTTTTCAGTATAGGACCCACTTGAAGCATTTTTAAAAGTGCCCTTCAAACTTCCCCAGGCAGGTCGATGGAGAGCTGGAACTGGAATGACCCAGGAGCATTGAGTCATCTGCTGGCATTTTCCCCCTCCTCTCCACTTCCACAAGCAATGATTTGTTTTCTTCCTTCCTCTTGATTAGGTCTATAATACAYTCAGATTATAAAGTGAACTCCATTTTGTGTCTCTTTTATTATCTGTAGTGTCTCATTAGCCTCGGTACTATCATAACCCCTCTCTGAATCATCATTTGTATATGGATGTTTGACATATCAGCTGATTGTCCCYTTTTCTCTTTCCTTCCCCATCTCTTCTGAAAGCCAATGAAGCTATTTCTGTTGATACTTAAATATCACAATTTCTCCCACTATCACTAATAGCATAATGGCATTATGAAAAACCTTTCTGCAGTGCATTTTTGTGTGACGTAATGCAAACAAGATGGAACTCAATGAGAACATCATTAMATATTATCCTCCTAAAATTCATTTAAGAATGACCAAAAAGTTTGAACCAAGCAAATGTTGTTTTTCAGGGATTAAGCCTTGAAAGAAGTATTTTCAGGACAGTTTCACTCAAACTTGGAGAAGGCACTGTAATGTTTTTATGGACATGACCATAAAAAAGGCTTGAGTGCAMAGAAAATAGGTGTCTGTGTGCCACTGCAGACCCTTTTGTCACAGAATCAGTCTTGTTTCCCCTATTTTCATAGAGTGAGATGAGAATTATTTCTGTAGGGCTTATAAACATTTCTCCAGATACGTGCTAAAAAGGGTGTTCAGTATCTCCTGCTTCTATATATTGGACAACCAAAGTAATGCTGCATTCTGCTCTGTGGGATGTAGTGTGAGATTCTTGCATGTATATTGCTGTATTTTTGTTTTCTCAGCACTGATAGTCACTACCTGTTTTTCTCTGGAGACCTTTGTCCAGAGAGCTGCTACTTTTAAAAAATCAAATAATTAAAGCCATTGTTACCTTTTTTTTTCTTTTTTCTTTTTTCTTTTTTTTTTTTTTTTTTTTTTTTTTTTAACTCAGGATAATAAATTCTGGCAGGTTTTTAGTGCTTAGTGTCCACAGGAACTAGCACTGCTTTGCAAACATCCTCAGCTTTTCAAGATTTTGTTCCACCAAATACAACCTGCATTTTTCTAATATTTTCCTTTGTTCAGCTTCCCTGTTGTCTCATTCCATGTGGTCTCACTTGAGCCTTGTTTTAACTACGATAAGTTTTTTTTGTTTTCTTATTCTATCTTATCTTCACAGCCACATTTATTTTTCCTATGTAAAGCCAGGCAAAATGTCTTGGTGTTACTGTGCTGATGTAGGGGTGCCCAGAAAGCCAGAAAAGCTTCTCAAGAAATATGGTTTATAGATACCAGCAAGGCTGGGTGCACACACAGCACTGTGCTGGCTTGGGGCTTTTCCTTGATGCAGTTTTTCAATGCATTTGAGCAATTATTTTGCTGAGGCTGCAGGAGGCTGAGCTGTCAGAGTGTCCTCATTCTGTGATCTCCTGAAAAGGCATAGAATTAAGAACCACGTTAGGAAATTATAGCTCTTTGCCCTGCAGGATAGGGAACATTGGGTTCAGCCGGGATCCTCGACCGATTTGATTTCTGTGGAATTTAGTTCTTGCTGGAAAAAAAATTATCTCTAATATTTAGAGTTAATTTAGGTGCTTAACTCGGGAGTAGTGCTGTCAGTGTGCCTGAATATTGCTATAAAACCTGCTGCTGCTGCAGACCTGCTGCAAAGGTGCTGTGGTGGCTCTGCCTGGGGTCAGGCAGTGCCAAACAGGAGAGCAGAGGCTGCCATGTGAGAGCTTGGGGAAGCAACTGGCACTTCTGCAGAAAAATTACTGCCCAGCACTTCACTGTCCTTTCTGTGWGTCCTGGGAAAAGGAAAAGCACTGGCAAGCAGGGCAGGGAAAAGTGGCAACGAGCTSGTCTTTCCTGGTAAGGATGTGAAAGCAGGTGGCAGGCTTGAGGCTGAGCTTTTCCAAACGCAGCAGTTCTGTCTGTGCATCCCCTGGCAAGTTGTTTACTGAGGACACCCCTGCTCTTACTTGTTTAATTGAGCATTAACACACGGGTGTTACCTTGCACAGAAATTAGAAGTTTCCCTTTCCAGCCCTTGYTTTATTTTAGCTTTTGGAATGGGTGAAGATTTGTTTTCCTTTCCGGAGTAGTCACGCTGTTATGRTGGAGAAGCTGAAGGGTCCAATTACCCACCCCATGACGTTGTTTGTAAAGCAATTACAACTGGCAGAGTGTGATTAAAACCCCGAAGTTATCACTGCTTTCTCGAGGCAGGAGGGGTGGCTGTTTGCAGATGAATATGCACCAAATGAATGATTTCCTCAGCCCGTGTGTGACCTCCTCCCCTCTGTTACTGACGGCAGGTACACAGCCATGCAGCTTTCTGCGCATGAATTAACACTTGCAGCTAATAGCAGTAAAGTCACAAATGGACTATTACTTTTTATAGCCTTTTAGCAGAGTCAGCCTAATGGAGCAAAACTGTTAACAAATTAAGATACCTTTGACAGGACTTTAAGCAGGAATCATAACCCAGGAGTCACTGGTTGGGACACAAACACAAAATTGTCTGTAGAATGAGGCTGAATCTCAGCTGTTGTGTGGTGGCAAGTGCTAAACCACAAAATAAGAATTAGGACCAAGAGTTAATCTTGGTGAGATTTTCAGAACAAGGAACTGACTTCCAGTAATGGTTGTAGAGAGCCCGACATATCTGCAGTGCTACAGGATATAAAATAACAACAGTCACAGTAAAAATAAGTCATATTTGTCTCCTTATGACAGAGCATGAAATAAGGCACAGATGCAGGATACGTCTTGAAGCCCCAGCATAAGCTATATCCTACAGGGGGCTTTTCTCAGTGCATTCTTATTTTTGGGGCTTTGTGCAGCATGGCATCATTCACCTTCATCTGCTCCTATTGAGGAGTTCAGGAGAGCTCTGTCTGTCTGCAGCTCCCAATGGCTGTGCTCATTAGTAACTTAAAGCCCAAACTTAGACAAATTCAGGCTGATTTTACTSCTCTTTCTCTATCTTGAACCTTTCTCCTCAACGTAATGTGAAGACTCGTTCTCCTCTTAATACCTTGTGATATTCTCCTAAGAACACCCAGTGTTACAGTTCCAGCATAATTATATTTTCCCATAGGTGCAAAATGTGTCTGCATCAATAGCTTATTAAAAGAGTGTAATAAAAATTATGACCCCACAATTCTGCTATTAATATAACAATTCTGAGCCAAGAAAGCTCCTTGATCCTCCTTGTGCTTCTGCTGTAACACGGTACAAGAGCAGAACACCATAAGCCAGTTTAATCCCTTCTTTTCACCCCCTAGCAATATACATTGGCCCAAGAGAGTAACATGAATTGAAAGTTTAATTTATTAATATGCAATAGTGATAATGTCGAAAGAACAATATATAAAACCCACACAGAACAGGATTACACGGTACATAGGGGAAAGCCTAGAGCTAATATTTAATATAGCAAAACACAGCCAAAAATAACTTCTCGTCCAAGGAGCAAAAGAGGGAGAGCTCTGCAGGTGCTGGAGCAGAGGAGCTGTGCAAGCAGCCTCTGCCTTCAAGTGCACAGCTGGACCCAGCCATCCATCCTCTGGCTGAGCTCCCTCTCTGCTGGAGCCACACAGATTGCGGTGCTTTCCACGAGTGCCAACTGTTGGGCACTGACTGGAGTTCCCAAATATCACTTTGTCTACTGGAAAGTTTCTCACTGCTCTGCTTTAGCAGTGCACACCAGAATCAGAGAGCAGACCCAAGCAACACAGGCAGAGAGAGAGCAAGCCACAGCAAATGGGGACCCTCAGAGCTCKGAACATTTCTGCAAGTGAAGCACGAAACCGACTTTTCCCTTCAGCTGAATGGTTCACTTAAGCCTGAAGGAACAAAGTTTCACCGGTAGGCAAAGTACCCTGCAGCCTTAGCAGAGGTACAGCCACATTAATATGTCACTGGCTTTGCCAAAAACGAGCAATTTGCTCGAGAGTCTCAAATCAGTAACAGTCATGTGAGTGGAAAGCTTTTCAGCCTCTAAGGGACTGGCCGGTTTCACACACTTTACAGAGTTTGCTTTCCTGTCCCTGCCCTAAAAAGAGCAAGCAAGGAAGGATAAATGTGAAGGAATAGAATTCAGTACTTCTACAGTATTAATGAGTGTTCACTGTGCAGTCAGGGGAGCAGAGCTCACTCTTGGAGGGCAAGTTGAGAGAGGGGTGACATGGGGGTGCCCTGGCGTCCTTGCAGCTTTCCCACCCTGCCATACATTTCTGAAGGGRTGGGATGAGGCCCAAGCTGACCATCAATCCTGCCTGCTGCTTGGGGCTCTCAGCTCACTGTGCGTGCACACCAGAGGAACTGCACAATAGCTCCTAAGTACATGGTCAAAATAGGGGACCTATTGTCTSTGTTGATTGAAGAGTCCAGGTCTGCAGCCAGGGCTCTTCTAGCTGTTGTGTCTGTAGATTCATTCCCTGTCTGATTCCTCTTCCAGCCTTCCCCAGCTCTAATCTCCTTGCTTCCCTTTGCTGGAGTTGATTGCCCCCTTCATGGCGTAGTCTGATTTAGAAGAGCCAGGTCAGCTCAGCAAAGCTCTGCTGCTTTAACTCATCTCCTCTCAAATGCCACACAAGATGCTCAGCTCTTATAWAGCAATAATCTCTAAAAGTCAGGAGGAGGCTGTAGACATGAGAAATGAGAGCAAACCAGGAGACTTACCTGTCAGCTGAAACWCCAGCAGCTGGGAGAGGCTGTGTGCCCGTGTTGTAGAACAGAGTCCACAAGCCCAGCAGCAGAAGAAAAGCAGTCGGGGCTGCCCTTCCAGCCCCTTCCTGAGGAGGGACAGATAGAGGAGGATGTTTGTAGCAGCAGTTCTTACATGAATTTGTGTCCCTAAAGTTTTTCTCACTGGTGTTTCTCAAGCAGCAGAGCCGGGGCAGGTTAACACAGGTCACAGCTGCCCTGTGCGGAGGTGTCACATCACACTGCCTGGTTTTTATACATGGCGCTTCCATGATTTATTTGCTGCTTCTTTCAAAAGCTTTATTTCTCTCTAGTTAGCTAAATTAATGTATTTGTAGTAGTTCAAAAYGGGTGACTAACTGCAGGCTGGGCCCCTGGCTGAGAGGAGGAGAGATTTCCTCCTCCTGCCAGGAGAGAGGGGTCAGGATGAGCCATGTGTCTGCCTGGCCACTGCAGAATTTCAGAGTCTTTGTGATATTCTTCTTTCCTCCTATGCTTGCCATTGTTCTGCACTTTCCTGTACCATCATAACTTTTTCTGAGTTTCAAAACTCATGAAATCTGTGAATATATTCTGCTCTGCTCAAAGCTTCCTGTGGTGTGTGCCAGGGTTTTATCAGCAATAATCAGTTCATTGGACTAAAACTCACCCAAGGGAAATTGAGGCTGCAGGGAGGAGGTTTGCCCTGGGGTTTACAATGTGTGGGGCAAGTGCCAGGGAAGCTGTGGGCCAACACACAGGAGTAAACCACTTGGAAGGGCAGCTGTGAGTGCTGTGCTCATGGTAATAGAGCTCRGAGCAGAACAAGGGGTCAGGCAGCAGAGAAGTCCCCAATATCAGGTTTCTGTAGAGGTGAAGCTGTTGCTGGATTGAAAATAGAGTGGTTGTAGCTGCTCCATTGACCAGAGGAACACGAGGCTGGAGACAGGCGAGTCTCTCTGGCAAAGTGAGTTTTATATCAGTGGGTCCCCAGTTGGTTTCTGCTCTGTCATTAGGTAAGGGAAAATAAAAATCGGTTTGCAGAGTTTCTGTGGCTTTAAATATCTCATTGTATTGCATCAGTCAGATGTGRGGATATGATAGATGGGGTGGAAAARAAATGTGTCTGAAGAGAAGTGGCATCCTGTGAGTACAAATGATTGTGCCCTGGGCTGAAGAGGGCAGGAGAGAATGACAGACAGGGGCTCAACCAGAGTTGAAAGGCAAACCTGAACTAGAGGAAAAAGGAGGGAGTGATTCTTCAGTAAAGGAAAAAAAGATTAAGATCTGACCTAGATACAAAGATCATTCCCATCCTGCCCCCCATTTGCTAGGTCAGGGGAGGTAATGAGGAGAACAAGACACCCCCAGGATGGTACAAAATTCCTCCGAGGCGTTGAGCCCACATAAGCAGCTCACCAGGAAACACAGGGGAGCTGTGCTGCAGCACGTGTGAGCTGGTGCTGCCCAGTGCTGGGATCGGCTTCAGGGGATCCAAACCTGTTCACTGCCCCCATTCTCAGCTCCTCCCAACCCCAGTAAAAGCCAGCAGGCAGAGGATGGTGTGTGTGGAACCTGTGCCTGTTCTGTCAGCCTGCAAGGAGAGGTTTTTGCTCGATGCTGGCTGAACAGCAGCGCTTCAGCTCCCACCGTGTGCTGCTCTGACCTCCTCAGCTCTTTTCATCTTTTTTCCCCTGCCCTGGGAAGGGTCAGCCCCTCACTGCTGCCCCTTTCAAACGAGGGTGTGCAGCTCACTGAACAATGTTCCTAATGACAAACTGCCAGTGGGTGACCAGTTTAAAAATATCAAGAGATATGATGAGAAACAGCAGAGGAAAAGAGCCAGGAGTAATAAAATGAGGTTGATAAAGGAAGAGTCACCTGAAAAGTCTCCTGGGAGGTCTGCTTTGCCAAGGCATGGCCTCTTGGATAAATGTGAGCTTTCCTATGAAACCATTCATAAATTATGTGAACTGTTTGCTTATAAAAGCCAAGTACCAGAGACAGCCATCCATATCAAGTCACCTGTTAACTCTTGATATTTCCAGCCTCTTTTCTTTGTCTGTTGCCAGTACCCTGATTGCAAAGCTTTCTTACACTGATGAGTTATCCAGTCTTATCTGGSCCAGTAAAGCTTGCTCTGTGTGGAGCTTATCCACAAGAAATAAAAAAAGAAAAACTTCTTCAAAATTCAAACAATTTTACTTGGCCTTTGCTCTTACATTTGTATCCTGGACTTGAGGGAAAATTTTAAAAGTGCTCAAAGTGRCTGCTAGATTGTAGTTTCATTGTTAAAAGTGACTTGGATACCTCATTCATGGTGAATTCAACCCATTTAAATTCTGGACAAGGCTTGGATGACATATACCTCCATGCTTGGGTCTCTGATTGTGACTGCATCCAGGCCTTTGTGCTTAAACTCTGGTGCAAACTATGAAGGAAAAAACGCACATGGACACTGTTGATAAAACCTTTGGGTACTTGAGTGAGATCTATTTGAGTAATAGTAATGTTACAGTTTTTTCATGGAAAAATATATTTTACATTTGTTTTTCTCTGGTCTTTGGACACTGACAGTAAATACAAACCCCCTCACATGTAACATGAAAATAAACCTTTTATCTGCTGGTTTTTGTTTTTGGTTTTTTTTTTTTTTTTCAAACATGACACACAATGCTCTTTACTACTCCAGAATTAGAGAAAACATTAATTCAATCCATTTAAGTGATGAATGCCCACAAAATGAAACTTTTTTTTTTTTCTGGAATGATGACCTTGGGCAGATTAGAGCAGCTAGGTAAGAAATCCAGCAAGTATTTATCAAAGGCTTCTAAGACAGTGCAAACTCTAGTGAGTTCAAAAGCAAGAGACTTTTAGTCTTCATACAACTGACAGGGTCATAACGTTTCAAGAATGCCAGGAATCCATGTGGCTGTTCCATTAAACACCCCTGATTAGTGAACGTGCTGATAAACTTAGAGAGTCAGAGGTCAACATTTCGGAGCTGAAGGTACCCCAGGTATCTGAAAAAGTCTCCAGAATTCCCGTGCCTCCTGCCCAGTTAACCCCTTCCATCACTGCACCCTTGGAGGCTTCAAAATGGGARCAGTGCCTCACAGGCAGCATTTTCCAGACAATTCTGCTGAGATGTTGAATTATTTTGAAAAGTACAGAAAAATTACCTCAGGCACCTCCCATGGAAGTGTTCACAACAGCTGGCTGCTGTTTGATTTCTCTGAGCTCAGTCAGTGGATGTGTAAAATCCCGTGTTACACTCTGTCCCCTCGGCTCCAGGTGACACCCGATGGCACCAGGCTGTGCTYTAAAACACTGCAAACACGACAGGGGGTTCAAAATCCTCAGGAGCACTCACAGCACYCTGTCACCACACTGAGCTCTCTGCTCTGTTCAGGTTTTGTTGCAAGAGCTCCAGCTCTGCTCCCGCCTGTGGCAGGTAATTGGGAAATCTGGGAAAATCTGGGAAATCAGGCTGCGTGGCTGAGCGTGGCTTTGGCAGGGCATGGTTTAACTGCAGCACAAACAGGAGGGTCCCAGGAAGGCTGGATTATCCCAGCAGCTCCCATTTTCCAGGCAAATGTCTTAACTGGCAAGTCCCCTCAATGAATGTTGCTTCTTCCTCGTCCTCCCAGGCACAGACTTTAACTGGTCCTGCAATGCATGGCTTTTCATTGCACGCACTGATTATGAACTGCTGGAGGCATTAAGGATTCGTGTCTGCTGAGGGCCACAGCGTGACCCCATCAATTTCTTTGAAAATCAATAGCAAAAATGTTGGAGAATGCAAAGGAAGCAGGAACAGTCAAAGTAAAGACAAGTGATGTCCTGTAATGGCCGTAATGATTCTGAAACACGCAAGGTCACAGATAATCAGGAACCTAATTCTCCTTTGAAAGAATCTGTCAAGTTACTTCCCTACCTCAAAAACAACTGCTGATTGATGTTATTTATGGGCTAACAAACTCATTGAAGGCAGTCTGAATGRAGGTTGTACAGCCTTTACTATCCAGGTGGGGTTAGGTGGCCTCAGCTGCAAGGAACAAAAACCAGGTGAAGAGGTTTTCATTGTTGTAGTAAAACAGCCTCGATAGGATGTGTTTCACAAAGTGCCAGCACTGCTGTGAGCCAGAGCCACAATGCAGCAGTTCTGTTAATCAAACCTCCACAGCTGAGATTTGAGAGATCTCCCCTTTTGGCTGCTTTGCTGCGCTGCTGTTATCCAGAATTGTTGTGAAGTGGGGAAGAAAGACCCAGGAAGGATGGAGACACCTCAGGACCAGGCTGAACCGTGCGGAGAGGTCAGGGCTGGGCAGGCACCCCCATGACCCTTACAGAAAGAGCCAATATTCAGGGGCTCTTTCTCGATGGTATTGCAGGTAGCACTTCAGGAAGAGGATGTTGAGCTCTGCAGGCCACATCTGGGAAGTCTGAGGCCAATTTGTACCCACAAACACCCCAAAGTGCTGCCTCAAGCTACAAAGCACAACAGTCTGTAGCTAATGCTGAATGTCAGACCCCTTCCTCTCTACCTCGTTTCTACCTGGCTGGTTTTTGGGTTTACTTCAAATTGTAAAGAGCAAGGGCAGAGTTTGTTTTATAATGTTTTAAAATGTTTTATAACAAGCAACTGAATGGGTAGACAAGAGGGGTTCTTTCCCCTGGGCTGTGTGTGTGTGCTTGGAATTGGTGTGAGGGAGCCATGGCTTGGATCCAGATCCAAAGCAGCCTCCAAACAGCAGAGGTGCAAGGCAAATTTGGACTTCAGCACAAGTGTGGGTGTCAGCTCAAAATGTATAATGCAAAATTGAGCCACAGATCAAAGGCCAGGGCCACAAGCAGGGAGATAGCAATGSCACAACTCAGAAATTTTGGGATTAAGCTAGATGGCAAAGTCAGCCAGCAGAGGGAAGGAGCCATATGAACCTCTCATGAAGGTATCATTTAAAATGCATTGTAATTGTGCACTGCATTCTGAGAGGTTCTTGTAATCAGGAGGTCTTAGAGTTTGTTAGTATTGGTTTTTTTAAAAAGCTGATCCCTAATTTTTTTCACAGCTACTTCAACCTCAGCAAGCTCCTAGACTTGAGGTTATGGGTGGTCCTTTCCAAAGAAAGAGCAGTATAGCTACAATTGTTTGGATCATTTTAACTTCAAAGTTGTGGATAGAGAAAGACCATAAGAAAATGTGTTTGCAACAAGAAGGAAGAGAACTTATGAAAACATGTGATGAGTGAGATGTGGAACTCAAAGATGAGATTTTGGCTGGCTCCAGCTGGGTTCAGCTGGCCCTCAGCACTGAGGATTCAATGCAATTCAAAGAAGAAATTCCAAATTCCACACACAATAAAAACTTYTGTTCAAAACGAAGTCACTTCTGCAAAGTGACAGGGAAGAATTTACCTCACCCCTAATTTACACAACTCGGATGTTTAGAAAGCAGAGACACGAATAACGAAATAGACAGTATACATTGCAACGCTGTCTAAACCTCCCTGTATGGTTTTGAATTACAAATTACATATTTCCTCACATCCAGGTATTATTTTTGAGCAGTGGGGTTGTTCATGTCAGGCTATTTTGTTATCTAGATTCTTGTATCACTAGAACAAGAACTTTGAAACTGCAAATATAGTCAAAAGCCATTGCAGRCACAGCATGGCCAGAGTACATGAGATCAGTTCTGCCAGAGCAGTGCTGATGTTCTGACAGCACAACTGTCAACAGCTGAGATCCAGTGATGTGCCATGTGCTGTCTGTGTGTCCCAGCAACATCCTGGTTCATCAGCATTTGCCCTTTTCTCTCCCTTCTATTATTCTATTATTGGTTTTTTATTTTTTAATGGGTTTTTATAAGGAGCACAAGCTTAACTTTTACTCCAGCACAAAACACTTCAAGTCCTGTTGTTGCTCTATACTCCTTTCTCCTTCTGCCCAGCACTGAAGGATCTGGAGCCCAGATTTGTAGTCAAGATTTCAGGCACATTTTTGTGGCCTCATAGGTCTCACTTAGTTTTTTTTTAAAGAAAAAAAAAAAGCTTTTTTAATAATCTGACCCACATTTTAATAATTTCTAATGTCTGTGGTATCCATCCAGATGTGTTTCTGGCTGCCTGACCCTCCTGTCAATACTTATTAATTTCATGGCAATCTTTTCAAGTGTGTTTGGAAACAAACAGGGAAAAGTTACTCTAAGGTCAAGAATGAGCCCAGGGAGGTGAAACAGGAATGATCATGCCCACTACAACAGAGAGAATGATATTTCTGCAGCTTTTTCTATCTTGCTCTAAAAGTGAGCTTTATGCATCAGATCAGTAAAGCATCCCTGAAGAGGGAARTTGCTACTCAAGTCCTGGAGCTGAGAGGAGGAACCAAACAAGTTACCAAAGAGAATCAGTGAGTCTGGCAGAACAAGGAGGTCCAGGGCTCTAATCCTTCACAAGCTCTTGTGATGGACAGTTGAAAGATGAATGTCTCAGTCAGGGCGAGGGCTTTGACTGCTTAAATAACCATGCACTGGAATAACYTGGGGAATAAATGGTGCTGGAAAACTTGGGAGTCAAAAGGTGTCCTACTCAAAAGAGTAGGATTGGTGAGGCTGAAATGTTCACAGTACGAAAAATTCTTACTCAGAGCTGTAGCTTTCTTGATTTGATACACTTAACACCAAATCGAYGTAAACCAAAACCTTGCTAATTATTACAACCTAGAAACAAGACTTGTTCTCTTTGAGAAAACCACAGCAGAGGTGCTTACTTTGGGATTTCACTGTTCTGCCTGTTGGTACAGCTGGAGAGCCTTCAGCTCTTCAGAGGAAAAGTGAAGGAAYGCCAGCCAAAGGTGGATGAAGTAAAGGATGGGGAGTCAGTAGCATTGGGGGGTCAGTGGCCCTGGATGAAGCCTGTCCCAGCTCTGTGGGCTTCTGGTGTCTTGGCAAACAGGACTATTCTCCCTGGAGTTTCTCCTGTGGAAATCAGGAGATAATGCCATAGGGCTGGAGGGGCTGCCAACACGATTTTTGGAGCCTTCTCACTATGGTGAGAAGYAMTTCTACGGACAGCGTGCCYAAACCTGAGCTGGCAGTAGCWCAGAGCGGRGAGAAACCTCTGCGCGGAGGCTGCGGTGGAAGAGGGGCTCCGCGGGGCTGCCCGGGACGGGGCAGAGGGCGGGAGCCCATCCCCGGGGAAAACGCTGCAGCTCGGAGCGAAGTGAACGTACGAGGCGCTGAAGCGCTGCGATGGGGGAGCGGTGCGAGATCTGGGAGCAGCGGGAAGGATGGGAGGGGTGGGAGCGGTGACAGCGGTGGCCGGGCTAGAGCAGTGGATGGATGGGAGCGGTGGCAGCGGTGGATGGATGGCAGCAGTGGTAGCGGTGGTAGCGGTGGATGGATGGCAGCAGTGTAGCGGTGGCAGCGGTGGATGGATGGCAGCAGTGTAGCGGTGGTAGCGGTGACAGCGGTGGATATAAAGGAGCGGTGACAGCGGTGGCAGCCCCAGGGCCCGGTGTCCCCCCGTCCCCGCCGAGCGCGGCCGCGCCCCGGTGCCCACGGGCGGCTCCTGCGGCGGCAGCGCCCTCCAGCGGCCGCTCCTGCCCGCGCCATCCCGCGCTGCGCCGCACGGCCCGTCCGCTCCCGCTCTGTCCCGCTCCCGCTCTGTCCCGCTCTGTCCCGCTCTGTCCCGCTCTGTCCCGCTCCTGTCCCGCTCCCGCTCTGTCCCGCTCCTGTCCCGCTCCCGCTCCTGCCCCGCTCCTGTCCCGCTCCTGTCCCGCTCCTGTCCCGCTCCCGC